AAAACTATGTTACTGTGTCTCAGAGCTCATCTCTGATTGTCAGAAAAAAATACCTAAAAATATGACATTTAGATAAAAGATTATTTTATGTTGTTTTAGGACACAGCAGGTCAGGAGAGATATAGAACGATTACCACAGCCTATTACCGAGGTGCAATGGGTTTCATTTTAATGTACGATATCACAAATGAAGAATCCTTCAATGCTGTACAAGACTGGTAAGTAAAAGCTGGTAGAATTAAGTGTTTGTTACTATTTATATGCTGCTGCTCTTAGGTTATTTTGGAACATATTTGGAATATTCTCAAAATGTGATCAAATCAAAGGTATTATTTACTTCTTGTCAATTCATATTTGATTTTGAAGGCATTTTCCATGTGGTAGAAACCTGGCTTCTGAATGATGGTGGAAAGATTTGATGTGCTATTCAAATGAAACATTGCCTTCTTTTCCAGATTTCTCAAATATATTTTGCCTAAAGTGTCAGCCTTTAGTTTTCTGCTTTCAAAAAATACAACAAATGCTTTAGTATCTGTTGCATATAGTTTATTGCATTCACTGTGTTTTTGCTGCTCTTGATTAATATTTTAACATTTGCACTTTAGCTTTCCATGTATTATTTGTAGGACTAAATCAAATGCTGCATTAGCATGTAAGACAGCTATCAAGGACAGCAATAAAACATTCCATAATGTGAATATCCTGAAGAAAATGGTGATACCATTTTGTGGGGCTTGGTTTTTTATTTATTTCTCCATAATGTTCCATTGACCCTCTTTTGCTAATTATTGTTGCCCAAGTATGATGCTTCTAGAACAAAAAAACCCTGAAAACTTCACAAAAGGAATAGCTTTTTACTATTATTAGTTATATGTACTATATATATTTATAATATAGTTACAGTAAGTTGTGAGCAGTGTCAGTGTGTTTGTAATTCAAAGCAAGATTACATCTATGGTTCTGAAACATTTTGTAGTCATAGCTTAGATTTCATCCTGTTTCCCATTTATTAATTTTACCTACAGTACATTACAGTATATTGATATACTTGGGTATTTCGTGAACATTCAGACCTTGTTTATGGAACGTACTGGGAGATTTTGTGTTACTAGCAGGCTTGCTCTGTGGAACAAAACATCTTCAGACCACTCCACATAAAAATCAACTCTTCCCCCCCACCCACCCATCTCTTACACACCC